ACCACTGATACATAATTTTAAAATAAATTTTAGGAGTTTTTACTTGATCCTTTTCTAGTATAACTTGGAGATTTTGCAAAGCAAGTGCAGACTGTGGCTAGAAGATTGCGTAAGTTAAAATAGTGAGAGTCATTATGTTTGTGCTGTTTTCATCAGGCACAGCTTATATTCATGGAATGAAGCACGCCACTGGGAATTTTATTGTTATTATGGATGCTGACCTCTCTCACCATGTAAGACTGTATTTTATGTACTGTGTTTTTAAACTGCTATAATTACATTTTCACGGGTTTTTTTGGTTTGGGTTGGGTTTTTTACCCCCACCTCTTTCTCTTTTTTGATTTTTTTTTTTCTTCCATTTCAGCCAAAATTTATTCCAGAGTTTATCAGGTACGTGCCAATGTATGAGGGAATGACTTCTGAATATGTATTGTTTCATGGTAATATTTAAAAGCTTTATATTCTTGTATAGCAGTCTAGCTGTAGTAAGAAAATTGGCAAGGCAAGATTTGAAATAGAAGTGATTGGACCTCATTAGCTTTTTTCCAGAATAATCCAGAAAAATAATTCGTTTCTAACTAGAGCAAAAATCCCGAAGCTTAAAGTAACAGAGACCATGTGTGGCTACGTGCTTCTCTTCCTTGTAATGGTTGTTCAGCCTAGAAAAGAGTATATGTAAATATCATCTTCTAACCATTTCCTCATGTGTACATGTAGGGATATTGACTGGAGGACCACATCCTCAGTTAATGACGAAATACTTTTGCCTGCCTTTTACCTTCCTCTCCTTTCAGTTTGTGAGAAGAAGTCAGCAGGCTTATTCTGAAGGTTAAGGGTACCAGTCTGCACAATTTTCAACTTCCTTGCTAGAGGAGGAGGCCTAAAATTTTAGCTGAGATTCTGCAGCAGTCAGGTGTGGTATGGTGTAAGGATAGTTCCAGACTTTTTTTTCCTTACCGTGGGTTTGTGTAACTTAAATATTAAAATCTTTATTTAAAATTATTCTGTCTTTTTTACTAGAGGGAGGGTTTAAAAATAAGTTGGTCTTTATAAATATTTATTAATTAGTCTGTGAAATTCTGCAACATATGTGGTAAAAGATAATAATAAGATTCCCTGAAACAGCTTTTTATGAGAGAGGAATTAACAGGTTTTTACATGCATAATGCTTATAACCACCATAACTCTTGCTTTCCTCTCTTCTGTATTTATTTGTTCAAAGGTTTGTAAAATACAGATTTTGTACTAAAAGAGTGATTGTTCTTCTTTTGAAATTTCTACTATCTTCATACAAATATTCCTCCTGTTTTTTCTGATAATACCAATTGCTTATAGAAAGCAGAAAGAAGGCAATTTTGATATTGTATCTGGAACAAGATATAAAGGAAATGGAGGAGTATATGGCTGGGATTTGAAAAGAAAATTAATCAGGTTAGTATTTTTCTAGATATCTACACATAAATTTGTTATTTAGAAATTTATAACAATTCCAAGTACGCAACTCAAACAGTGAATCTGTGTGAGCCATTACAAGTCTTTCATCAATAGTACTGGGTACTACAAAAGCATGCATGATTAGAAAATTTTTGGTTAAATCCCACCGAGAAAGAATGTAATGATATGGCCAGGGTTGAGAAATGTGTTGGAATAGTGGACAAATTTGCACTGTATCAGAGTGGGACAGGTTTTCAGCTTCAACATCCAAAGAATGAGCTGAGACTATGACACTTTTGTAAAGTTTAAAAGACACACTTTAAGCTTTAAGATCTATAATGGTCCTTTTCCCTAATTTGACTTTGTTGACACTCTGATTTCTCCTAAGTTAAGAATTATCTGGCACGATCAATGTCAGTAAATCATTACTTGGACCTGAACTGGAAAACAGTTACAGTGAGCACTAGTGGTTCACCCAAAGCAAAGAGGAAAACAATGTCATGGTTGTGTGAGCACATGGAGGCTGGTATCTCAGGTTTACAGGGACTTACAGATTTTCAGGAGGTAATCAGCAAGTTTCTTCTGCAAAAATTCTTTCTCTCTTACACTTATTCGAGAGACTAGGCAAAAGTTAATGCTGATTTATAACTTATTGTAGAGAATTAGGAGCAGAAGTTGTGTTACCAGTCTGATCTGGAGATGATATCACAGGGACTGTATTTGGATTTCTGGAATAAGTGCTCATCTTTCTGAGAATCTAAATAAAACATACACCCCCCAAAAAAGGGAGAGCTAAATGGACATTACAGAGGAATTCTTTTACATCATGTTTGACAATGTGAAGGACTTCCACATCTTATCAGTGTGTCATATAACCCTCGGCAGCACAGTTTCAGTCTTGCAATATTTTTCATCAGTGGAGCTTATCACACTATGAAAGTAGCATAAACCTCACATTTGTCAAGGAAGCATTTTTATTGTCCCCTTATAATGAATGTTAGAAGAAAAATGTGGTTTTGACTGTTGTCAAATTTACTTCTTTTGTATTGTAATAGTATGTAGTTGTATTGACAATTCTACCATAAAGAACCAGACTGTAAACCTAAATCCTAAATTATTTTTTTTTCCTTCATAGAGCAGTTCAGTAATCTACTGGTGATCAACAACATTTGAAAACCAAAAGGTTGAGTTTTGGCTTCAAGATGAACATTTATTAGTCAAATCTAGTAATGAAAACAGATTAGGAATAATTGTTTCATAGAATCATTAAGGTTGGAAGAGACCTCTAAGATCATCAAGTCCAACCATTAACCCAACACTACCATGCCCACTAAACCATGTCCTGAAGTGCCACATCTACATGTTTTCTGAATACATCCAGGGATGGTGACTCCACCACTTCCCTGGGCAGCCTGTTCCAGTGCTTGACCACTCCCGGGCCAGCCTGTTCCAGTGCTTGACCACTCTTACAGTAAAGAATTTTTCCTTAATATCCAATCTAAACCTCCCCTGGCACAACTTGTGGCCATTTCCTCTTGTTACCCCAGGTTCCAGTATAAATTGGGGAAC